TCCCTTGTGCTAGAACTGGCTTTCATCTCATTAAGCTTTTCAGAGAAACAGCTTTTAATAATCCTCTACCTGTGTGTTTAATTTCTATTTCATTAAATCTGTTTAAAGAAACAAAAGATTAAGAATCCGAGTAAATAGCAAGAGAACATGCAGAGCTTCTACAAACAAATTAAGATAATGTGATCATGGTGCAGGGACAGACAAACGGACTGATGAACCAGAAGACAGTAGCCAGAAAAATACACACAGACTCACAGAAACTTGATTCACAACACGACTGACATTGCAGCTCAGAGAGACAGGGCAGACTCTTCTATGTACGTTACGTGCTGTATCAGTTATCTCCATGTAAAAAAAATGAAATTGAATTCCTGGTTATCACCGTATTTTTAATCAGTTCCAAGGAGAATAAAAGCTTAAATTCAAAAGGCAATAAATATTACACAATTTCTTAGGAAGAAAAATAGAAAATGTGTTTATAAATTCAGAGTAGGAAATTATACCACACCACCAAACACCCACCCCTGCCACCGCCAAATAACTTTGAGAGCAGCCATTATTATCCTAATTTTATAACTGAAGAAACTGAAGCCAAGAGACGTCTAATGATTTTCCCTGGTGACAGAGAAAAAATATTTGAAGAAGTACTGGCTAAAATGTTCCATATTTGATGAAAGACATGAATATACACATCCCAGGTGCCTGAACTCCAAGTAGGATAAACCCAAAGATCCACAAGGTCGCAGAGTATGCTACGGGCGGGCCCAGCAGCTCAAGAGTGTCATCAGGGACCCGCTCTTTCCATTCTATACTTCAAAGTGTCAGCTTCATCGTAAAGCTGCTGCTAGCGGCTTCCAGAGGCTTCTTATTCATGCATGGGGTAGGGTGGGGTGGGGTGGGGAGACCCAGATCAAGAGAAAATGTGAGAACCAGCAGAGAATGATGCATCCAAAACCAAGAGAGGAGAGAATTTCAAGAGGGAAAAACCCAACAACGTCAAATGCCACAGTAAAATAAAGAAGCAAGTGTGCAATTCTTGAACCTCCCAAGGAATTACTCTTACCAGCAAGCAAGCACCTTACTGTAATAGAGAGAGAAATCAAAAACTAACCAGTTGGTTGACACTATCCTGTTACAAAAAAAATAAAATGCACCCAGAGTCAAATAGAGTCTGTCCAGTGTGGACTGGGCTCCCAAAAGGGGCCTCATTTAAAAAAAAAAGAAAAAAAAATTTTCTGCTGAATTCTCCTATGTAGCTATATGAAAACAAGAGTCTGAAAGGGTGCCACTCTAGTTCAATCATCAATAGACTTTGGTTTAAGAAAACCCACTTCCAGTTTTCTCCCCTCCAACCCTGATGATGAGTAGGGTTGGCTGATAACAGTGAAGATACATTTTAAGTGAATCTAAACACCAGAATGATTCAACTCAAGAATCATGATCTTTAATGGATTTCCTGGATTTTCTCTCAGTAATGCCCATCTTTTCCTATCCCTTTAAGGCCCTAAAGAGTTAAAGTACTGACCATTTACTTTACCCGTAATTCTGACCAGAATTTGCATGTCTAAAAGAAAGACAAATTCTGTAAGGTGGGATAACGATATTGTGATTATGTTATCAAAAAAAAGTCTTTATTCATACTGTAGAATTTAGGAGTTGTAATATTATTACATCTGGACTTTACTTTGAAATAGTTCAGCAAAAAATTAATCAAGCAAAATGATAAGTGTTAAATCTATTTGATGGATATATGGGCATTCATTACCTATTTATACTCTAAGGGTTTGGAATTGATTGACTGATTGCTGAATTGGGTCTTCGCTGCTGTGCATGGGCTTTTCTCTAGTTGCGTTGAGCGGGGGTACTCTTTGTTGTCGTGCGGGGGCTTCTCACTGCAGTGGCTTCTCTTGTTGTGGAGCACGGGCTCTAGGCGCATGGGCTTCAGTAGGTGTGGCGCACGGGCTTAGTTGCTCCACGGCATGTGGGATCTTCCCAGACCAGGGCTCGAACCCATGTCCCCTGCACTGGCAGGTGGATTCTTAACCACTGCGCCACCAGGGAAGTCCTGGAATTTTTCATAAGTTAAAAAAAAAGTTTCAAGTATAAATGGCCAGTAGCACCTTTTCAAGGTATTTGGCTAAAGTATTAATGAAAAATAATGGAATGTTGCCTGGCACATTTAAAAGAATAAATAAAAAGAATAAATAAAAAGAATACAAGTATATAATGAAATACTCAGGACCAATCTCTGTACAGCTGTCACTTAAATATCTTGATGTCCTACTATTTCTTTTAACACCCTGAATGTACGGTGAATACCAGTATTTTGCTGGTATTCAGTGAAATTCTATCAGCATATCTCTGCCTTCAAAATAACTTTGCAGCCACACAATCCTCTCACACACACATAATTTCACGCACGCAAGTGCCATAGGAAAAAAGTGGGAAGATTAGCCATGTTCAGAGAAGCTGTTCGTAACTATCAAGGCCTTTCCCACAACTCAGCAGTCTTCTCCCAATGAAGGCAAAAATAAGGTTTGGTTCACTTTATCATCTACATTTTGTCACTTTGACATCGTTAGGTAAGACGAAACGGAAGTCTACAGCTGATTTATCTTTTCTCCTAAGAAATCCAGTGGTTTATTTTTCTTAACTGAAAAAGATATACATGGATATGGTTATTACACACATACATACTCTCTCTCTGAAAACATACAAAAGGGCATACAATGAGAAATTTCCTTCCAACCTCAATAAAAGCTTTTTTTTAAAAAGCAAGTTAACTGGAACATGCTGGTGAAATTCAGTGCAATCACTGCCGTTGATCACGGTCTTCCTGATTCTCCAGAGATAAGGGCCTTGCTTAAGCCTCACCACTCGGGGCCCGTTTCTCATCTGCAGAATGACAGGAGAAGGTTAGCCACAACACAGCAGGTGTGGTTTCTACAAATATAAATGTTTTCACAGGGGAAAAGCAATGTGGAAAGATGTCAAGAAATTCCCCATTTTAGTACAAAGGTGCTGCCAGAGAGGTTTTAGATCAAGAATCAGGAGCAATCTGTGTAATTTAGTCCAGGCCCCTGCCTTTCTCGAGAAGGCACTGGTTTCCCACAAATGGAGGCTTGTGGGTGGGAGGTCTGTGTTTGGGGTTCACAATTTGTATGAGTTTAATTAAATTACTTAGGTGGGAAGTTCTGCTTTCAACCAAGACGAAGTAACAGGGATAGATTTACACTCCTGTCTGAAATGACTAAAACAACGGACACAGTTCTACTGTGAAAAGGAAGGTGAAACAAAATCATTTTCAGACATTAAAAACTTGAAAGAATTCATCACTAGTTGATCTGTACTATAAGAAACGTTTAAAAGTCCTGGGGTGGGGACTTCCCTGGTGGCGCAGTGGTTAGCAATCCACCTGCCAATGCAGGGGACACGGGTTCGAGCCCTGGTCGGGGAAGATCCCACATGCCGTGGAGCAATTAAGCCCATGCGCCACAACTACTGAGCCTGTGCTCTAGAGCCTGCAACCCAAAACTACTAAGCCTGCATACCAAGAGCCCGTACTCCGCAACAAGAGAAGCCACCGCAATGAGAAGCCCGCGCACCACAACCAAGAGTAGCCCCCGCTCGCCGCAACTAGAGAAGGCCTGCACGCAGCCAACGAAGACCCAGTGCAGCCAAAAATAAATAAATAAATAAATAAATTTATATATTAAAAAAAAAAGCCCTGGGGTGGGGTGGGGGGTGGGGAGATACCAGATGAAAGTCTGCATCTACACGGAAGAATGGAAAATACTGTAAATGGTAACTATGCGGGTAAACATTTTCCCCTCATGATGTGAATCTCTTTAGATTTACTGCTACTGTTCAAAGCAAAGATAACAAAAAGTGTGTTGGGTTGGTAACACACATAAAAGCAAAAGAGCACAAAGGCTGGGAAGGGAGAAATGAAAGTACACTGTTCCAGGGTTCTTACCCTGGATGTGAAGTGGTGTAATAGTATTTGATAGTAGACTCTGATAAATTAAAGGTATATAATATCTAAAAAGCACTACTACTTAAAAACTAAAATAAACCACTAAG